TCTCTAACATTCTGTGATTCTGTGCATTCCTTACGTTGCATCCTGTCTACTTACATTCTTCATATCGTAGTGCCTGAGCCTAATGTTTGTGTGTATTCACATATTCCTTCTCTTTGCTCTTTCTGTTTCCTCTTATTTGCATATCCAGGATGGAAAAGCTTTATTATAGTTGCTATACCCTTGTTTTTCTTCCGTATTGAGGCAGCCCAGGCTAGCCTGTCTGTTGCATTGCTCTGTTTCTACAATGCCCTCCTGTCTGCTTTGTGAGTACCTCCATGCTGTCCTGGCACTGTTCAGTTATGGTAAATATCAGCTAAGGCAAGAGGCTTTGTCATATATTTTTAATGTTACAAGAATATTCCACCAGATTTCCGTAATGTGTATGCAAATCTTCAGCACCATTTTCTGAGGAAGGAACTGGATTTTAGTGCATAGTCTTCTGATTTCCCCTGCTTGCTTGATGCACATTGATCTGCTTAAGGACCTTTGGACACTCCAATACCTTTACAATCTTGGCTACACAAGACCCCTTTAGGTAATGATGAAAAAACACCAAAACCATCTGTTTTATTGCCTTTTTTTTTTTTTTTTTTTTTGGCAGGCTGATTTGAACACCGATATTGAAGATGAATCCAGATCTTTCTATGGCGTTTCCAGCCAATATGAGAGCCCAGAAAACATGGTCATTACCTGTTCCACCAAAGTGTGTTCCTTTGGGAAGCAGGTGGTGGAGAAAGTGGAGGTAGGGAGCATGCACCTGGGTGCAAGGTTCTCTCTGGCTGCTGTTTTGCCCCTTCAAGTATTTGGATACCATGTGTATCTCAAGGCAAAGTATATCCCATGCTTGTTGTCAGGGAGATGAATGCCATAGTTTATTATTTGTGAGACACAGAGGTTTGAGATTGCTCCAGCCTGCAACATGGCCTTGTCTCGGGACTTCATTGAAGGTCTGGTGATGTTTGCTATTTTTCCCTTAAATCTCAATTTCTGAAGACATGTGAATATGTAAGCAAGACTCTCAGCTCTGGTGATTCTCTGGTTTTCTTTTGGGAACAAAGAAAAGCTAGGAAACCTGGACCCTTGTTTTGTAGTCCAGGCAGGTGAAAAAAAAAATAGGCAACACCTCACTCTTATCAGTGTTTTCAAACAGATCATTTATAGACTATAGCTATTACTTAATAGACTAATAATTTACAGGCTATAGTCTTATGATTTTATGAGGCTTATCTTAGTGTTTGTACACTTACAGCTTGAACAACAGTGGAGCTGTATAATTACGCATACATCTTGCATTGAATAAACTCTTTCTGATGCCACATTCAGCTGTTAAGAGAGCTGCTCGGACCTGCTTCCTGATGCTCTCTTTCTTAAGAAGCTTTAGATGCAGGAGTGGCTGTGTGCAGAACACCAGGTGTTCTTGTGTCAGCAGTCAGTTCAAGCTACATCCTTCCCCAAGAGCCATCTCTAGTCATATGACAGACATGCCTGAAGTCTGGTTATATATTTGTATGATGGGATAGATAGGCCAGAGAAAGGTGTCACAGTGCACAGGAAAGGAGACCAAGCTCTTGGGGTGAAAAGAGGTAATGGTCTGCTGTGAAATGATAGAATCCAATCTCAGCTTCTGTTCAAAGGAAGATGAAATATACAGGAGCTAAGATATGAATGCGAACAAGAAAAACCCCTAACCCCTCTGTGTAACATTGGCCAGACGCTCTCCTAAGGGGGAGCAGAGGTACTATGTTCTCTCTCACAGGTACCAGAAGGCTTTAGTCCTTTCCAGCTGTGAAGCATCCTGAGCATACGATTACTGTCATTACTAGGAGCTTCCTGGTCTTGATAAAACAGTAGTTTTTAACTTTTTCAGTTATCCACACCTAATATTTTTCCAGTAGAGATGCAGACCATAGTATAGCTGACAATCGGTCTGCTCTTCTTAGTTACCTTTCAAAGCTCATTGGCAGTTTACTGCTCATAAACTGGAACCCACTGTTCTAAAGAAGAAAGAAATCAATCCAAAGAAATTAGAGGGCTCAAGGAGACTGACCATGGTGAAAAGTACTGTAGAGGAATGATTAATCAACTCATTACTATTATTAAAATCACTTGAAAAATGCCCTTGTAATTTTTTTGTTCTGACTCCCTTTATGTGATCACTGCTTCTAATGTGACAACATTAGCCCCTATGTCCCTTTTGTGTTTTACATTTCAGACAGAGTATGCACGCTATGAAAATGGACACTATTCCTATCGCATTCACCGTTCCCCTCTCTGCGAATACATGATAAACTTCATTCACAAACTCAAGCACCTTCCTGAGAAGTATATGATGAACAGTGTGCTGGAGAACTTTACTATCTTGCAGGTGGGACTTTCAACTGCTTTCATTGGAGCTTGGAAACATGTAAGCCCTATGCAGGAGTTTGCTGTTGCAAGTCAAAGCAGATTTCCTTTTACAGCTCAGCCTCTAATTGAACTTAGTATCTCTCACATGTATTGCACCTCAAGACCATTTGTGGAGCTCTAGAAATAGTAGCCCATGCAGAGAAGCAGCAGAATTTGAGAGTCCTGAGTAAGAGACAAAAAAAAAAAAAAAAGAAAAAGAAAAAAGAAAGATAAAGGGAGAACTCATGAGGCAGAGAAATAAAGGAAGGAGAAAGATGCAAAAGTCAGTGAAGGAAATGATCATTCCACTATTGGACGAATGTTGAGGTCCTTTCTGTGCCTTGGCCCTTTTTGCAAGATAAAAAAACCCCAAGACTACTGTGAAGGGGTTACTAATTTTGTCATGGGAAGAGCTCTTCACTGATCAGGTAGGGAAGAAAAAAAAAAAGTTATTTCCTCAGGACCATCCAAACCTGGAAGAAATATGGAGGCATGTAAAGGAAAGGGCATGTTGGGGGAAGCTCTGTGACACCTTCATGAATCACTGCAACCTCTAGGTAGGACAGTGCTACAAGGCTACAGCAACTAGATTTGCATTAGTGTCTGTTATACCAGGAGACTTTCCAGGCTCAGATGAAGCCTACATTTGGGAAGAGGCCAAAGAGAGTTTACAAGGTGGATTTTCCTAATAGGCTGAGTTCTATGCTCACCTCTATAAGATGTGTCACAGATCTTCACCCAGAGAACATGAGCTTGGGTAAGTAGAAGAGATGCTAGAGGCTGTTTGAAAATGGAAATCAAGTGGTCTTCATTCCATCCTCTGGAGATCTTGCGGGACTACAGGCAACTCATTTCACTGCTCTGTGGCTCAGGTACCTCAGCTATAAAACAAGGTTAATAATGTACCTCACAGGGCTTTAGGATGCTTTCATTCATGTTTGTACTAAGATCTTTAGCATCTGAAAGAAAAGAGGAGTATAAATGCTAAGAGTTTTTTAGATGAGCAAAAGCATGAAGGAGGCAGGGACAGAGAGAAGGAAGGCCTGTGTGCTGTACTGAGGAACACTGTGACTGCTTTCTGCATGTTTCATACCTCAGTCAGGCCAGCACTTGCTATAAATTTTATGAACAAAGTTGTCATATAGTTACATTTCCTCTGGGGCTTTATGTTTTGAGTAATCTCTTGTCCTTCTCTTACCTTCTGTCACAGAGAGGCATGTGGGTGCTGGCACAGCCTTTTATATATGCCTTGCAGTCCTGCTCCCTGAGTAGCAGGCTGAGCATTTTCCAGCCCCAACTCCCCACTGGGGACCTGAAAACTGGCCATGCTTCATGCAAGGCCTGCTGCTAGTCCTCAGTCCCCACTACCAACTTCTGAGGCAAGTCTAATTATGTTTTTTCTAGACACTTTCATGAGCTTAGATACCCCTAATAGCTCACAAGTATGATTTATCTTGCTTTGCACATTGCTCTGGATCTAGCCCTTCAAGATTTCCGAGCCAATTTTTCAGAAAAGGCTCTGGTGTCCTACCACACCTGGATGGTGTATAACTCACAATGGCCTGCAGAAGAAAGGAGAAGGGTTAGTTCAGCTGCAAACACAGTCGTGAAGTAAGAAAAGGAAACAGAATAGACCAAAATCAGGCTGCTAAACTAATAAGCAAGTTTGAAAACAGCTATTTTCTTTCCTCTTTCACAAGAGTGATTGGGCTTTGGTAAAGTTCGGGCCTCCAGCTGTTATGTTTTTCTTCTGCAGTTTTGTTGGTGCTACTACTGATTAAAATGTATCTCCTCCAGCAGGAGAGAACTGCTTGAAGCTTTAGCTATGGCACAAAGTTAGATGACAAGAATGGGCAAAGTTGTGCAGTGACAGAGGGAAGCTGAGCTAGGACCTCTAGGTGCACCATTTCACTTATCCCTGAGATGTATTGTAGTCAGTACACGCTTCTGAAACTAGGACAACATGGTTCCATCATGGTGCTACTGACACTGAGTCACACTGCAGAGAAGCTAAGGTTCCTGAGGGACCACAGAAGAAGAAATTGAAAAAAAGGAGCTACTATAAGAATGTATGAATGTAGCAGCCATTCTTCTGACATCTACAGTGTATGGAATGGGAGGCGGAATGGAGTCAAACCTATAAGTCTCCTGTAAAATGAGTTATGCTGTATAATCCTCATGGTCTGTGTCTACTACTGACAAGCAGGAGCAGATGGAGGGAAAGAACTCTTCATGGCTGTGATATATCAACACATATATGAGCAGGAGAGGATGTGCCACAGGAGGTGGCCTCTCTATAGCCAAGAAACAAAGCAAAAAGGTTTTTTGTGAAACACTTTCTCTCTGCTGCAATCTGCAACACTGGTGGTGGGGAGTAGAGGACCTAATGGACCTGCTTCCACTTATGTGGTCACTGCTTGGTCCCAGCTTTCTTTTCTCCACAGTGGACTCCGCTTACCTCCCTGCCTCTTCACTGCATTGTAGTCCTGATGCTGCGAAAGTGCTTTGCTTCGGTGTGTGTGCACATAGACAGGGGTTGAGGTGGTCAAGCTGTATATCATTCCTGTGCTTCTCTGTTCTTTGCCTATCACTGACTTTTTGCTCTATGTTAAATGTGTTGGAATATGTAAGTAGAGAAATGGCAGTTGCCATCTCAGCTTCTTCTCCTTTTCTCTCTAGGTTGTGACAAACAGGGACACACAGGAGACCTTGCTGTGCATAGCATATGTTTTTGAGGTGTCAACTAGTGACCATGGCGCCCAGCATCACATCTACCGGCTGGTGAAGGACTAGAGACTCTCTGCCCTGAGTCGTCCGTGCGATGCATGTCTGAGAAAAAAGCCCATGCTTGAACAACCCCTGTCCCCTCATACCAAATGGAAAAATAAACTGCAGATATTGTGTATTTTCAGAAAAGCACCTCTGAGCTGTTTTGTGATTGACAGGGTCAAATAAGTTTGTATCTCCAGGATTGTGCAAATGGAGAAAAGACTTGGAGTTAAAGAAACAGGCAAAATAATTGCTTAAGGGTTTCACCACAAATAGCATCCTCTGGAATATATTTCCCACAGAGCACATACAGGGTGTGATCAGACATGTAAAAGGAGTGGTATGCACCTGAGCGTACAGGTAGGGCAATGGCAGCAGCTTCCATAAGTTTGACCACATATGAACAGGTTGAAAATGTTCATGCTACATCTGGGTCTGAGTGTCTGCACTCATTTGTAGGTCAACACATGCACACGTATGCATATCATGCATTTATATAAATGTCATGTAGGCATGTGTGGGCACATGCATACGTATAGGGATTGCACATATAACCTACATATCTGCCTGTCTAGCTGTCTGCCTTAGAAGGTGTGCAGTCGCAGGCTCCTTCAACCTTCCTTCTGTTAGAGGCTGAATACTGTTTCCCTCTCTTCCAGACATGATAGTGAGAGATCAACATTTCTTTTGCCTTATAAATTAAGTTATGCGTAGAAAATCGGTATATTAAATCATATTGTCTTGCCCAGCATGAGGTTTGCTGACTTTACTGACTGAAATAATTCTTGTTAGTTTTGCTTCTGTTCTCCCTGCGCAGTTAGCACTGTTCAGGGAGCTAGACTCTGCTCTTCTCTTGTGCACAGGTAAAATAATTGTTTACTGAGATCAAATTGTTCCATGTGTTAGTTGCAGACAGTGAGGCGCACAAGTATTTCAAAGAATGCCATTTGGCCAGCAAATTGCAGGAAACAGGTGAGAGAGAGTAGTGAAAAGAGGTTAGCTTTCCATGTTGCCAAGGCAATCAAATGCAGTCTCTCTGCTTTACTTGTAAACTGAGGTTGTTTACTCCAGAGTCACTGAGAGGCAATAATCTTGGTCCCCACAATGCTGCTGATGTGGAGGAAGATCCAGCCATTCATGTTACCTGAGGGAAGAGGTGGGTTGCATGATGCTCTCTGTCAGCCACTGAACAGGCAATTTATTGGGTGTCCAGGCAGAGTCCCATGGCCCAGGTTTGGATATATGGTGTTTTATCTCCTCTTTCCACAATGCATCACAACACCTTAGGAAACACCTCATACTTATTTCAGACGTTTACATCCTCACATTTTTGGCACAGAGCAAAGTATTTAAAGGTACCTGAGCAATCTGAGATACCATCAGAAATCAAGGGTTTATTAGAATCCCAGAAGATAAGGGCTTCAGCCACACACAGATGAAATCTGACTTCTTTTGAGAATCTATGAGCTTGTTAGTACTCCCTTCTACAGCTTTCAGTCTGCTGGTTAAAGGGCTCTGTGTATTCCATGGAGATACTCTACAACTCTTCCCACAGCCTACAGACTCACATATCTCCTCCAGCTTCCTAGCCATCTTCCTGTCCTTTAAAATGTTTTGTGTCTCTATTTCAAGTTGTAAGTTGTACTCATTTACAAAGTACTCCAGGAGTACTTTGTAAAGTACTTCTCACAGATTGATGATTTTGTTTCATGCACATTTAAATCTCAACTCCCTTCAAAGTTTAAATCTTCCACTCTTAGAGAGAGTTCTTCCCATGTTTTATAGACTCAGATTGCAGGTCTAAGTCAAGTCTCTACTGGGCTTTTTCACAAGTATTGTTGAATATTTCCCATCCTCTCACTGAAATTGATGAAAAATGCTCAGCCACCATCTGTGTCACTTCTGCTTGGTATACTAGATAGGGGGCAGGGGGGAGGGAGAGGAAGGGAGGAAAGGAGGGTAGATTCCCTTACTAGAACACATTATTTTGAAAACATAATCTGGTATTGTACTCAGTTATTTCCTCCAAAGTCTTCATTATGCTCAAAGAAAGCACTAGCATCTTTCACATCAACTCTTTCACTCTCAGCTCTCTCACTTCCCAGGGGTTCTAAGGCTCCTCAGCTTTTTCCCCACAAGATGATTTGGGCAATCTGCTGCTTTAGATGTTTGTTTCAACAATCTAACTTTTCACTAGCTCATCATCTTGATTGTGTTAATGAGCTTTCTTGTGTGTTTCACTAGCTGTGCTTTCTCTTACCCAGCTTTAATCAAGTTCTGGTAAACAGTGAACTTAGCTAGATAATGGTAGCTTCAACCACTCCGTGCAATACTTCTGAGTAGGAATCTGCTGATGGCTTGGAATCATCATGTTTTTATTTTGAAGCTGGTACTGAGAGCAGTTGTTCTTTGCTAACTCATAAGTGTGGAGAAACATACAGTGTTTTCCTCAATTACTTAAATCTTTAGTATTCCTCTGGCTCATTGCTGGCTGATAAGTATGGAGTTTCTTTCTCTGAACTGTTTTCCAAATCCTCTGTAAAAGTTATTCAAGCCTATAATGCTGCCTCTAGGTTTGTAAAACTTACTTTATGACCTTAGGATTCAGTACAATCTTTTCTGACTCTGTGTTGCAGCTGGGCGAGTAGATTCCTCACAAGGAATTAATATTCAAGAAGCAGTAAAGAATGAACTATTAAAATTTAACTTATAAATCAAATGAGTTAGACAAGTTTATTATGGTAAAATTTCGATACGGGACTCCCTAAAAATTTTTGTCTGAAGCATGAGTTCCCAATGGTGTGGCTGTCAGCAGTTAGATTAAAAGCAAACAATTGAAAAGACCTTTAACAAAGATGAATATGTTAACTGAGGAGAAGGTGTGTACTGAAAAAAGATTAATATAGACCCATTCTCCTTTAACATCATCAGTAAGTCTGGAGGAGGGAGAATGTAGCATGGTAAATTAATCTGCAGATAGCACTAAAAGAGATTTTTTTGCAAGCTGAGTATGTATAGAGAACTTGAGCAACTTGACACTAGGCTTGACTGGGAGAATAAATACTGATTTGAAATGACCTTAAAAGAGCAACAGAAAGATGGCAAATGAAAGGTGAATTATCAGAAGGATAATCAGTGCCTGAGAGGTACATAGTCAGTACATGATCCAAAATTAGACAGCATGTTGGAACTAACTGTCAAAGGACAGATGCACAAATACATGCACAAATGCATCAGTGACAGAGATGAATGTGAGAGTCAGATCAAAGTCTCACGGTGCTACCCACTCAATGAAATGGAGACATACACTGAAGGATGAAGATTTCATCACCCATGGAAGTGGTAATGCCAGGCCCTACAAACAGTGTTTTATTTGCCCTAGCCCTTGAGGAATCCTGAGAATTTCCATTTCAACAGAGATTTCAAACAGCAGACCAGAATATTGGCCACTTACAAACCCCTACTGAATATACTTTGTATACAAGTACAAATTTAAATTAGAATGAAATATAATGGAATAGTTCCAGTTGGAAGCAGCCTACAATGGTCATCTAGTCCAGCTGCCTGGCCATTTCAGG